AGGTCAGACTGTTGCAGTTGGAAGCCTTTGCTGTAAGAGTAAGTTAATGCTTACAGCCTGATACAGAGAAGTTCTCCTTCGCAAGTTTCTCATTAACTTACATGTTATGTTAGTTAACTGCTGTTTTATTAAAGTGCAGTTCTACACTCCAACTTTTTAATGTCTTTCAGCAAACATTCCTCAGAATAGGGGTGGGAGGGGGATGTTAAACACTGTTCCCTGGGAATGGAAGAGTGAAAATATTAGACTAGAAATTAAAGCGTGAGCTAAAAATCCCAAAGCAGTTGAAATGCTCTGGGGATACAGCAGATAACTGAAAGGGGCTAAAGCAAAAACTGTCTCTACCACAAAGCCAAATGGAAATATTAGAAAGGAAGATGAATGGAAAGTCTAAATATTGGCAAATCAGACAGTCTATATTTGCTTTATCGCCTGTGTTGGAATGAGAAGGAAGAAACCAAGTTACTTCATTGTGCTAAGTGAATTAAAAGAATATTGCATTCTGGGGCAGGGAGGGGGGAAACGACTTTTAAATATATCCATTTCATATGAGAAAACAACAACAGGGAGAAAATTGGAAGCTTTTATATCACATTGGGGCTTAAAATCAAATATTCAATTGCAGAGCGTTTGTGAAATAATTAAGTCAAAACCAAGCCCCAAAACTTAAGTAATGACTATTAGAAGATTCCAATACAGAGTTAGAAAAATCAATCCAAACATCAGAATTGTCAGACCAAAACAAGATCTGACTGCAAGTGCTGGCAGAAAGACAAGATGTTACTAATTGGACTGGGTTACCAAACCACAACCTCAGGAAAACATGCAGATACAAAACAGAACTGAAGAGTTCAAAGAAAAGCCTCAAAACGAGAGCGATATTGCAAGAGGTGGCATGAAAAACTGAACAAGGTGTGGAAGAAAATGCAAACATAAGTAGCACCCAGCCTATTCAGGCAAAGGTATTACATATGTAAAAAGCAAAACCATTTTGGAAAAAAAAGACGACGACAGGATGTACCAAAAGAAGAAACGAGGTGCAATTATCTCACCCAGAGGAAGGCTAGAGCAGCATTCTCAGCAGAGATGATTCCACAGTAAGCAGCTACCTGGGGGAACTGCTCCCGACATCACCCAAAGTGAAACATCCCCATCAACACAAATGAAATCTTAATATTAAAGTGCCTTTGAATGCGGGTTCCTGATCTAACGTGCCATTACAGACAAGAGTTTCAAAGAGAAAATCTGGTCTTGTTGAGCACAGACAATTAGTGGTCAAATTGCAGGGAGATTGTTTCTACTGTGCTGCAGTATATAATGTACATTAAAAGTCGCCCAAAATATTGAAAATGTAGTTTTGTTACTGTTTCAATTCAGTTACATGGAATTACTAAGTTAAGCCTGGAAATATACTTGAAATGAGATCTGATTTAAAAATATATATATAAACTGTAAAATAGGAATCCATGAAAAAATTTGTGACAAAATAAAAAACATAATAAAGAACAAACAGAACAGCTACTAATATTTTATATTAAGATATGCCAATGACATTTTAGATACCTGGTTCAAAGATGGCTTAGATTTGTTTGTAGTTTGTGAAAAGTACAAACTGTTGAAAATTAGGATTTCGACTATCCAGACATAATATCATTACATACTGAAATCGCTAAGCACTTAATCACCGATTAAAAAGGATCAAACAAACAAAAAAACCTTTAGTTACCAAACATGATACATGACTACTGCAAGGACAGATTGAACTACAAGTTAGTCTTGAGCGTAAATATTTTGCAAAAGAACATACTGTTTAGCACACCATGTTCAGGCTATCCAGAATCCTGTGGAAAGCGATGCCATAACAGCAAAACATACCAAAAAATCCAGATCATGCCCACTGATAACACAAGGCAGAAGTCCTTGAAAAAAAATGTACTAACACCTGACAAAAAGATGTTTAACAGAAACCTGAGAATTTGTCCAACTGACTACGCATCCTCAGTCTTAACTACTGAACAACAATTTTTATAAAACTTCAGGAAAAGGTTTTATGTATAATAATCAGACAAAACCATATTATGATGCAAAATGAGTTACATGAGTTAACCCTCAGCCGCAGAACAGCATACAAATCTTCCATGCAAAATCTGGACCCCTTTGGAGGAGGAGCTCCTTTTTCATATGGCATGGCCAATAATCAAGGTACATAGAACTTCATCTTCTTTCACAAGAGATAAAAAAGAGTCCCTAAATCCTGAGGAAGAATATTGGGAAGAATCCACCACGCTCTAGGGTCTGAGCAACTTAATGCAGAGACCAAAACCCACAAAGAGAGGAAGACTACCAGCTCACACAGGATCAACTCTGAGACTGATTTTTTTGGTTTCTCTGTTTTATTATCTGTCTGCAGATCGTTCCTCTCTAGTAGGCAGAGGTATAAGGGTGACTGGCCCAGTAGGAGTCTTAGAACAAGTTAGGTCACCATAGTTCTGTTTTTGTTAGCTGCAGCTAGCAGACTAAAAGTTGAGAAATACGGGCCCTGTTCCTGCTTCACCAGTACTTTTCTCATTCATTAGTTAACCTCGTTTTATTAAAAACTCCTCTTAGATACAAGTTCTGACCCAAAGTTCTCCTTAATCACCATCGATGAGCAAGAACTGCCTGAAGACGAATTCCATTCCTCAAGCCATACTCTGAAAAGCACGTATTCAAGAGCAAGATAGTGTTTTAAACAAGATTTTTTTATTAAGTTAGAAGGTGAAATGCAAAACCATCTGTTCAGAAATATGTCATTGTTTTGTGACCATACTTAAGTTGGCTCTCATTTCATGAGCTTGCTTTAATTACTGTTCTTTAATGAGCATAATATGTACAATCAGAATAAAAACATTTATAATTAACAATCTGCAAGAGAAAAATCTTAAGTAAGTTTCTTTAAAGCACAAATTTGCAGCAGCAGAGAGCAGATGGAAGGAAATTGCACAGATTAGGTGTCACGGTAGCAACAGCCTGCTAACTGCATAATAACAATAGGACCAGAAGTGGTGAACTAGAAACAGGGCAGAGTACACTCAAGAAGAGTACTTCTCGAGGCGGGACAACATTAATGTTTGATCTTTGGAAATATCCTCCTTCATCGAAAAAGACAAAAGGTTCTATGCAATCTTTTAGCATTGCAGGTTCACTTGCAAATTTTGACCATAAATGCTGAAAGCCTCTACAAGTTGAGTTTCAATTTTGGATCTCAGGTTTTGGTTTATGCATCTCTATAATTAAAACCCAATTACAATACTAGGTCAAAGTTTTTTTAATTCTTTTGAAGCACTTAATACAAGTGTAGTAAGTTGGAAACTAACACAAAGCACACTATTACTGCCTATTCAATCAAAGCAAAGCAATTTCTTCTACAATCCAATGCCAGCAGTAAGTTGGTTGTTTCAAACCAACCTCCTACGTGCCATGCCTATAAAACAAAACTCTCATGTCGTAGCCTGCAGAAGACAACCGTACCTCCAAAAATAACTGTGCAGCAAAAATTGTACAACCTGTAACTTAGGTCTCCCAGTTCACGGTAGTTTTGATCACCAGGAGGATGGTGGTGTAGTACAGGAAAAGAAAGAACAAGTCTCAGTAAGATTAAAATCGACTATTTAAAAAGTTAGGAATGGGAAATGATTCTTAATATGCCATTTTAATCTTCTCTGAGACACATTAAGCAACTATTGAGCTGTTTAAGCACTTGTAGCAAGCTGCGCTCAGCTGCTGTAAACACTCCTGCAACGTACATTTTTTCGGAGCAGGTTAAATAGATATCCCCTGGAGAACGGTATGCTCGATTCTGTCTCGGGGGTAAACGGCTTAGGCGTTACGATCTCCCGAAGCCCTTTCCAGCCCTAGATTTCTTTGATTCCACGACCGTCCGGGAAAATCTAGTTTTCAGCAAAGCAGCTGGAGGGGCGTAGACCCGGGGGGA